GCCGCAATCACCAGCTCTCGCTTCCCGACGGAAACGCGACGCTATCACCGCTTACTTCTTTATTATTCATGCTCGAACGACTATGCGGGAACCACAAACGCACACCACAAATGTCCCGAATAACACCTGTCAATTTCACTAGTTTACGTCTCGGTTCAATGTGTGCACTCTAATTTATAACGTTTAAATAACTATTAAATTAAAACTCAGTTTTAAGTTTATTTGGACAAAGGATGAGACCGTAAATTTTTGTAACCGCGATACGTGCGATCGTCCACACGCAACAAAAATCGAGCGAGACTGGCTCTTTTGCAGAAGGGGGAGGAAGCGGCGCTAGAGAGAGACGGCATGTTAAAATGGCGACAGCACTATGAACAGCTGCTCCATCGAGTTCGCTTGGCGTGTCGTTTATCCTCTTTGAAGGGAACTCTGCAGTATGCCTGCTGTTGTATTGTATTGTTCTGTGCAATACAATACAGAATTGGGAAAAAAAATTATCAGTGTAGTTTAGGTAATACACTTGCACGGCTGAAGGAGTAGTATAAAGTCCGGTTTGTAACTTTTTGTTTATTTCAAACACACTTCGGGAAAAATATTTGTTAGGCGGGAAAGTAATTAATGCAAGTCAAGTTGCAATGCTCATACTTAAATGCTTAAATTATGCTACTTTTCGTCATCAGAGATTTCTTCATTAAAGTATGTCTCAAAAGTGAAACCAACTTTACCTTGAAAACATAGTCCGTTGAAAACCTAAACATTCATAAATACGCTTGTAGTCCAGAAGTGTGCAGAGAGTGCAGATTTCATATGCAACGAACCATACACCTTTCTCGCTTATTCTAAATCCATGGCAAACTAATAGCGTGACACTTCAGAACACTGTCTCTTTTTTATAGATAGTATGAGAAGGACAGCTATACTGTCGTATTACAGGTGTTACTATTAAGGTGGAGATTTACAGCAAGAATAGTATCATCAGGCTGCTGCTATTAGTATGTCCAGTAACTGCCCTAATATCTTATACAAAAGGATTATAAACAACCTACCCCTGGATGGAGTGTTATAATATAGTTATTTTTTCTATGGAGCATTCGTTCATACAACCATGTCGATTTCCGCAGTATCAATTTGTTTGTTGCATTAATTCTCAATGTCGCTCTCTCTCTCTCATGATATTAATGTTACCAGCGCAATAGCTTTTCCCTAAATTCGAGAATATGGAAAATTAATTTTTAAAATGCATTTCCCATTTATGTTTATTTTTAGTACAATGACTAAAACGGTGTAATACGTTCTATGCCACTACGATTGTTCGATGTCTTTCACATCAATTTCGCCAGGCGAGACACTGCGTCGACTGCACGCATGAATGTCTGCAATTGCATAATTTAAAAAAAAAACGTTTAGCTGTACTTTAAACATGGGAGAAAGTCGAAAGTCAAATATATCGAACGTTCAGTTGAGACGACTAGTTCAACACTGAGCTTGTTAATATAAATGTATTGATAAATAGCACAAATTAACAAATAACTTTTAAGAATACAGAACACATCAAAAACAGTTAAAAAGCAAACACACAGTTGGTTTATAAACATAAGGATAGAACTATTTTTTCAACAATTGACGTATTAATTAAGGGAAGATGAAATAAAAAGCATTGCAATAAATATCAATGATTTTATCACAGAGAATCACATTGTGTTATACAACATATTTATGTGGCTAGTATAAAATATTCCTTATATGACATAATTACATTATTGTGTATATATTAAATACTTAAATTACCATTGGAAACATTGCTACAAAATACTATCTTTGTCTATTGAGTGTTGTTTTAAAAAATACAAAATAAATTACACTAAAAAATTAACCATTAAAGTCTTTGATATTGCAAGAATTTTTAAATAAACATTATAAAGGTATTTTACATAATTGAATTCCAATTTTTGTTTTAAATAATTATTAAATAAATATGTTTAACAAATTACTCGGTTTTATGAAAAAATGACGATTGTTTTTTTTATAATTATAATAAATGTGACAAAAGGGCAAAAAGATTCTCACCATCAATAACAATAAAATTAGATTTATTTTTTTGTGACACTTTAGTGAGAAAAGGGATATTCAATAATTACCAAAACATTATCCAATACGAACACACATCAAAATTTCCCTACGATCTATTTTCAAATACGTGTCCACAACTAAACTACAGAGCTAAGTGATTTTGTACAGTAAAATGTTATAGTTATACAAACAATTCAATACATTATTGTCTATTTACATTATGTATACTTTGGACTGGCTTCGCTTTAGAATTCGTTACAATGTTTATATACAAGAATGTATATCCTATTTTAGAGAATACATAAATCTTGTTAACATAATATCATATATTGAGGCCATTATTTTTGACGAAGTGTTTTTTATGAGACGATCTTTTCTTTTCATATTATATTTATATATTTCATATATTTTTTCATCAAAACAAATGGTGAAACGGAATTTAAAAGATTTTGATGTGTTTTACTTTTTTTATCTGTAATTCGGGTACACTCAGCCTCTTTTAGCATTTAAAAATCATAGTCTATTAAAATATTGCATTGTAAGAAAACAAAATATTCTTTTTATTATTCTATTCGATAAAAGTTAATAAATAAATTCTCTAATAACTAAGATATGAATGAAAATTGGCTAAAACTGACCGACAGAGCATTAAATTGGTTTAATGTGATTGAATAAAATTGATTATTTTAAAACAAACCCTGCAAAGTAGGATTCACTTTTGGAGATTTTAATATTTGCATACAAAATATCGACTTTTGAGGGTAATAAGTGTAATACATGATTCAGAAATCTTTGGTGGACAACATACAAAACTCAATATTTTTAACTTAAAAATGTGATTTTAAAGTTAGGTCTGTGTGAAAAATCGAAATAATCAAGGTGTTTTAGGTAGCCTAGGTGATCTAGGATAGTTCAAATCCTGTATTACTGTTTACCGCGTACCGCAACTTGTCTCGCAACGTGCTGCGTTTCTGGTAGTTCGGCAACTTCAGTAAGTTAAAGCAGGTAGAAGAAGTCGGTAAACGGTTCAATGGATCCTTCTTTCTTATCGTGAAGAATCCTCTTATTACACTACCTGTAAAAACATCAATATTAATGTTAAATTATACATTATAATCTATACTTAATATATTATAGGGTAATTTTTATATTTATATTTTGAATAGTACTTTTTTAATGGAAAATAAAAACCCTACACATGATACCCTTTAGGCTATATATAATTTTTTCACGCTATTAAACTTAGGAGTAAATTATTTTGAAAAAAAAAAACACTGTCGTGAAAGAGACAAAGACTACAAGCTGACAACATCAAAGAACCAATTCTCAGCCAACGTCAAGCTTTCGTTGTTATTGAAGCATTTAAATTTTGACATTTGCAATTGTAAATTTTACAAATGTATATTATTGGGGACAGTTTTTATAATGTAACGTGGATGAATCCGCACTGGAACAGCTAATTTAATTATAATAAAAGTATACCAATGGTGTCCCCCGTGTCCTCGTCGTCGCCGACCTCCACGCAGCGTATGGAGAAGGGAGGCTTGAGGTGAGCGAACCCCAGCACCGGCGGCTTGGAGCACGATGTCACAAACTGAAAATACATTTCTCTTACTTTAAAGCTAATTAACTATGTGAAAGATTATGGAGGAGTAGTTTCAAAAAGTGTATCGAAAATGAAGGAGTATTGCAAAGGAGTGGTGTGAATGATAAGTGTGGTGGAGTAGTGTGAATAACTAGTTGTGTACAATAGTTGAAGTAGTTGTATAATTTATTTACTTTAATGTATATGTATTTATTTTAATACATTACTTGTATAATTAATTCTGAAGTAGTTGATTCATCTAATAGCCTGAAGGAGTAGTCCATCTGAACTACTCATCTGAGTAGCGCAAATGAAGTCTGAGTTAGGTCTCTGTGGGAGTAGTTTGAAGGAGTAGTGTGAAATAAAAGTCTGATGGAGTAGTTTGGAGATGTACGAATGAATAGTGTGAAGGAGTAGTTTGGAGTAGTTGGATTAAATACTACGAAGAAATTTAGAGGAGTAGTACAAATGAGTAGTTTGTAGTCGTTTTAATGAGTAGTTTGCGGGAGTAGTGTGTGGTAGTTTGCAGGGGAAGGGAAGGGGGGAGTACCTTGAGGAACATGGCGCGCTCGTGCTCGGAGAAGTCGCGCTGCAGCACGTCCCAGAGCCAGCAGACGACGCGGTGCGAGTCGTGGAAGCCGCCGTAGTAGAGCGTGTGGCGGCGCAGGTCGCGCAGGTCCAGCGGCACGTTGTCGCCGCTGATCAGACGCTGCAGCTGCACACAGTAACACAACATTTATTTATTTAGCAGGAAAACTAAAACGTCATACATTGCCACACTGTACCGTAAGTATATTTATCACATTGAATTCGATATAAATTACAAATTTAAAGAAACCAATCTAAAGAATTTTATTTTTATAACATTACTAGCTTTCGCCCCCGACTCCGTCCACGTTGAATAAAAAAAACAATAGTGAGTAGCCTACGTGTTCTTCCAGAATATCTTCTACATTTTTACTAAATTTCGTCGAAATCTCTTAAGCCGTTTAAGCTACAAACTCTAACATCCATCCACCCATCTAAACTTTCGCATTTATAATATTAGTATGAAGTATGATAGTCACGTTTATCTATAATCTATACTAATATTATAAGAGAAAAGATTTGTAGATTTGTAGTTTTGTATTCTTCTTCTTTTGGTGCAGTCTCCTAACGAACATTGGCAATCATTACAGCGACTTGAAGTTTGGAC